TACAATAGGCACACGGACCTGCACATTTATCAAAGGATCTAATGAATGCTCTTGTACAAAAATACTACCTCACTGTCCCCATATGAGATTCTATTTGGGACTGCACCTAGGCTAGGTTGCTATTTTCCCCAACAACTACAACTTCAAACTGATGTTTTAGTAGATTATGTAACTGAACTTGCAAATGCTTTAAACAAAATCCATGCCCAAGTTTTCTCTTCAATTCAGATCCTGATTCTGATACGGGCAACCACAGTCTGCTCCCTGGTGATTGGGTCCTAGTCAAGAAATTTGTGCGGAAACACACCCTGGAACCAAGATTTGACGGACCATTCCAAGTTCTACTGATCACCTCCACCTCCGTCAAGTTGGCTGGGAAAAGCAACTGGATCCACGCCTCCCATTGCAAAAAGGTTCCTGTCCCAGAGGAAGCAGACTCCTCACAACCATGTACCTCTGGTACATCATCCCTTTGATTAGTTTCCTTGAGGCCCAACAAGTGGCCATTACCAAAGATGCTAGTGGATACACATTCTGGTATAATTCATCATGCACCCGCGTAGCTACATTCACCTTTGATTACTGTGACATAGTAGATTGTCCATTTCCCAAGTCACAGATTCAAACCATTTACAAAGATATACCACACGCAAAGGACCCCTATGTTTGTGTAGTTGACAAGCAATGGGGACACAACTGTGACCATTGGGGGCTGCAGGATGGAATACTGGGTCTGCCTGGGGTTACAAGCCCAAAAGTGCCTTATCTAAAGTAGATGACCATGACAGATCCCTCCTTCAAAGAATGACTTTAAGAAAGCCAGGAGGAGGTCTGCCCATGAAATTAATGTTAAACATTGAGCACCCTGGTCCAAAGGATGCTGACCAATATGTAATGGGAATGTATTGGAAAAGTGGTTCCTATAACAAATGAGGTCATTTCTATCTTAAAGATATGTGCCACTCTCCAGAGAGGCTCGACCTCATCTTGGCACCGTTCCTCTAACTCTCCCTTTGGAGATAGAGAATTGCTTCCTTAGTCTTTTTGCCTACCGCTATAATTTCAACAGATCCCTCTGCGAAGCATGGAGGGCAGAGTACCCCCTCTTAATTGGAAATGTCAAACCCCCAGATGGAATCACGATTTACAAGGGTAATTACACTTGTTATGCTATCTATGACGGGATTGGTAAATTCATGGGTAACTTTTCCAATGGCTATTGTGCCACCTACAGAACTAATCCTATACGCCTGTTGCAACACCATACCAGGTCATTGGGGGATATTTACTGGTTATGTGGGGATCTACAGTTAAGATCTAGGCTGGAAACTGAGTGGTGGGGTGAGTGTACCCTAGCCAAAGTTATCATGCCCATTCATATTATTTCTGATAATCATCATGACACATACGACCCTCCACATACACCAGCCAGAGTGAGGCGCGAAACCCCAGTAAAAAGCAGTTTTGACCCCCACATTTACATAGATGCCGTTGGGGTACCTAGGGGGGTGCCTAATGAATTTAAAGCTAGAGATGAAGTAGCTGTAGATTTTGAATCACTTTTTACCATAGTCACTGCCAACAAAAACCTTAATTGGATTAACTACATTTATTACAACCAACACCGTTTTGTCAACTACACCAGGGATGCCCTCCAGGGCCTGGCCGAGCAGTTGCAGGCCACATCCCAGATGACCTTCCAGAACAGAATGGCCTTAGACATGATTCTAGCTGAAAAGGGGGGTGTATGTAAAATACTACCTGACACCATGACTTGTTGCACTTATATCCCAGAAAACACAGGTCCAAATGGTAAAGTCACTATGGCCATAGCGAAGTTAGAGAAACTCTCAGAGGAGTTGAAGAGGAATTCTGGGGTAACAGATCCCTGGGAAAGGTGGTTTGGTTGGATGTCAGGTTGGCAGAAAGCTTTAGTCCATATTGGTATGGCTCTACTAATTTTCCTTTTTGTTCTCGCTCTTCTCGTTTGTTGTGTCCTCCCATGCTTTAGAAAATTCTTACAGAAGACTACAGACCAAGCGACACTAACTCTCACTCATCTGACAATCGATGATCAAGATCTCACCTCACCCTGTATTCCGCTACAAACTCTCCCTTATACTGATAAAGTGCAGAAGTTCTAGGAAGGGAACCAGTGCAGGGACAGCATTTGTCTCTACAGGCGAGTCTCACGTGCGGAGATGTGGTGGACTAGCCGCTGCGGGTTACCCACGGAGTGAAGTGTTCGATGCTTGTTAAGACAGATGAGCTGCAGCCCGTTAGGGTCAGATAGGGGTGGACATGCACTTTGCACTAACACCAAGCTAGCGACCATGGGGTTTCTGTGTCTTTGGGCTAACAAGTCTTCTGGTATTAACAAATAAAGTTTATCTTTTAGTAACTAACATTTTAAGGGGGGATTGTTGTAGAATTATAGAATTCTTGAAATTATCTAAGCTAATGCTTTGGCAGGAAGAAATGTGCTGAATAAGAAAATGTGTATTTACTAAAAGAACCTTGAAGCTAACAATACTAACTACTCAAAATGGCTGCCAAAGCACCCCTCCCATCGAGTGAACACCTCGTGCTAACAAGATGGCGCCTACATCTTGTGTCCACTCCTGTGTCAAGGATGACATCACCTCCTGGTGGGAGGCAGGGGCGTACCTAGAGCATTTGGCACCCGGGGCGGATCCTGTGCTTGGCACCCCCACCTCCCTCCCCCCAAAAAAAAATAAATAAAAAAAACTGTAAAAAATGTTAAAGGTTTTATTTCTTTTATTTTTACAATTTGTAAACTTTGCAAAACCGCTGTCAGCCCCTCCTACAAAACCCTTGTCCTGCCCTGCCCCATCTACAAAACCTCTGTCCTGCCCCTTCTACAAATCCTGTACTGCCCATCTACAAATCTCCCGCAACCCCCTTCCACAAATCCCCTGCTTATCCCCCCTTATAAAGACTCCTGTCCCAATACAAAACCCCCACCCCCTTCTACAAAATCCCTGCAGCCCCACACACACATTTACAGGCAGACAGTCACACACTCAGTTACAGACACAGTCACACACTCAGTTACAGACACAGTCACACACTCAGTTACAGACAGACAGTCACACACTCAGTTACAGGCAGACAGTCACACACAGTCACAGGCAGACAGTCACACATACACATTTCCTCCATGCGGCCAGTTTATCAGCTGTTTGCTTGAGTGAGCTGTACTGGCCGCACGGCACCCTAACTACCATGGGACACTGTGCGGCCACAGCTCACACAGCCCCCTCCAGCCAGGGCCGGTGCAAGGATTTTTGCCGCCCTAGGCAAAAGTAAATTTTGCCACCCCCCCATGTGACATCACAATGCCCCACCCATATGATTTGCCATGTTATCTAACGCCAGTGCTGCAGTGCCACAGTGTTTACATTAAAAGGCCTGCAGGGACAGACTGTAGACACCAGAACCACTACATTAAGCTGCAGTGGTTCTGGGGACTGTAGTGTTTCTTTAATGTGAGGTAAATTAGAGATTAGTACCACGAATAATATACTAGATTGCCTACTTACAACCAGATGAGGATGATGACGGGCTCTAGCTGCGAAGTCTACAAAGCGCAATTCTGGTACAGAACAGGCTCTCTGGAGGCGGTTTGTAACTGTGGTCACAAAAATCAATGTTCTGGGAGAACGGGAAGCAGCTCCATTTTTTGGGGGCCCTTTACACAGCTCAAGGTCTGGGTCCCAGGGTCCACCTTCATGTTCCACCAATGAGTTTGTTCACAGGGGGTGGAGTGTGTAGGGGATGTCCTGATATGTGTGTAAGGAATGCATTGTGTGAAATTGTGTTTGTATGTGTAAGGGCTGCAAGGTGTGTTTCTGTGTATGTATGGGATGCATTGAATGTGTGTAAGGGGTGCATTGAGTGTGTGTAATGAATGCATTGTGTGTTTCTGTGTGTGTAAGGGATGCATTGTGTGTAACGGTTGCATTGCTTGTGTATGTGTGTCTGTGTGTGTAATGCATTGTGTGTTTTTCTGTGTGCAAGGGGTGCATTGTGTGTATGTGATGAATGTCAATCTCTCCTCCCGCTCCAATTTCCTTCTCCTCCTCCCAGTTTCTCTTTCTCACCCCCCCCTGTCTCTTTCTCCACCCCTTATTTCTCTTTCTCACCCCTTATTTCTCTCTCACCCATATTTTCTCTCTCACCCCTTATTTCTCTTTCTCACTACCTTCTCTCTCACCCCTTGGCTCTCTCTCCACTTGTATTTCTCTTTCTCTTGTATTTCTCTTTCTCACCCTTATATCTCTTTCTCACCCTTATTTCTTTTTCTCACCCTCCTATTTCTCTTTCTCACCCCCTTATCTCTCTTTCTCACTTGCCAATATACTCTTTCTGCACCCTTATCTCTAACTTGCCACCTTATCTCTCTTTCTCCTGCTGTTCTTTTCTCACCCTCCTATTTCTCTCTCACCCCCCCTTATTTCTTTTTCTCACCCCTCTCTCACCCCCCCCTTATTTCTTTCTCACCCCTCTCTCACCCCCCCTACCTCCCTGTAGCGTGGCCGAGCCCAGTATAGCCGGCGGGTACAGGGAGCTTTTGTTTCCTGTACCCGGCCGGAGTAACAGGAAGTGCACACTCAGTGTGCACTTCCTGTTAGTCCGGCCGGGTACAGGAGACAGCTGCTCTCTGTACCCGTCGGACCATGCTGCAGTGAGGGAGCTGACAGGAGCGCTCCCTCCTGTCAGCCTCTCCCCATGCTGCGCCCGGGCGGTGCGGTCCGCCCTCATGGACGCACCGCCCGGGCAAAGCTGCAGCCGCCTGAGGCTCTATACAGAGAGCTCGGGCGGCTGCAGCATGGGGGGGGGGGCGGCGGGGCTGGCCATGGCACCCCCCATCCTGGTGGCACCCGGGGCGGACCGCCCCCCCGCCCCCCCCTTAGTACGCCACTGCGTAGGATTAACTACCAATACCTAAGGTGGATACCTGGAAGGCAGTTAAATGGTTAGTTGTTGAAGGCATGGAACCGTGTTCCCCTGTTGGCGTCTGAGCACTGGTCCCTGCTTGTGCGAAATTCTCTTTGGAGATGTGTCGCCGCTGGGTTGGTGCAAACCGTGGTTGAGTGCCCGGGAATCTTCATAAAGGCTTTGTCCCTCAGGGCATGAGATGTAGGGCCTTCACCCTTCCGATCGTATTTAGGTGTCCGTATCCTGGTGTCCTCTTGGATAGTATGGCAGCAGCGCTTGCCTGGACACCCACTTATCTCCATGTCAATAGTGGGCACTGAGTTTTCCTCAGTGATATTCCCCCAGGCCTGTGGCCAAAAGGGGGTTCAGGCCCAGATAGAACCGGCCAACGATGGGCACAGGTAGTGCAGGCCATTCAATGGGCACAGACATAGCAGGCCAATCAATGGGGCACAGACATAGCAGGCCAATTAATGGGGCACAGACATAGCAGGCCAATCACTGGGGCACAGGTAGAGCAGGCCATTCAATGGGCACAGACATAGCAGGCCAATCACTGGGGCACAGACATAGCAGGCCAATCAATGGGGCACAGACATAGCAGGCCAATCAATGGGGCACAGACATGACAGGCCAATCAATGGGGAGCAGACGTAGCAGGCCCATCCTGGGTTGTGTATTAAATGAGTAATGGGGACCCTAAGTTTGGGCAGAGTCCCCTAAATATCTGTAGGTCCTCAGGGTCTCCTATGACATAGGACCCCTAGACATCAACCCTTTCCGACAGTGTAATACTGTGTGAATAATCTGAACCGGGACTGGCAGTCCCTAAATGCCCAGCAGGCAAAATAGTGGTATTCCAGATATATTGGGTATAAGCTGAAGTTGTTCCAGTGATTATAGTGTCCATAAAAGCAAGATATACTGAGCAATACCTTCTTTAAATTGTGAATTGGTAAGCACAAGCACCTACCGATCCGTGTGAGATTTCTTATCTATATATAATAGATCATCATCGTCAGGCCCGGACTGGCCATCGGGCACACTGGGCAAATGCCTGGTGGGCCGCGGTGGCTGTGGGGCAGAGGCCGGCAGGGGAGGTCCCAGGATCTCCTCTGCCGGTCTATGCAGGGCCGGCGCTATCCGAGCGCCGGCCCCGCTGTATTCCATGGAGGGCCGGTGGGGAGATCAAAGATCTCCCTCACCGGCCCACATGTGCTCCAACGCGGCCGCCGGCGGGGAGAGAGGGAGGGTGACAGCCGGCAGGAGAGAGGACCCGGCGGAGCTCTAACTTGCAGCTCCACCGGGTTTCTCTCGCGAGATCCGGACCGTTGCTATGGCAACCGGCCGGGTCTCGCGAGAGTGAACTCTAGCCCCAAAGGGCTAGAGTTCACTTACCACGAGGACCACCAGGGATGGCTGGCAGCAGCACGACCCCTCCCCCACCCTTCCAGACTACAGGTAAGAATGGAGGGGGGGTGATATAATGTATTTACTATTATGTATTTATTTATTATTATGTATTTATTAGTATGTATTATTATGTATTTATTTGTATTTATTATTATGTATTTATTATTATTTGTATTTATTATTAATTATTATTTATTATTATGTATGTATTAGTAAGTATTATTATTATTATTTTTTTTTAGTAAAACACCTACCTGCCTCCCCCAATACAAAATCCTTGCAAACACACACATCACCCTCACCCAGCACCCTAACACACACACAGCACCCTAACACCAGCACCCTAACATTGACACAGCACCCTAACACACACACAGCACCGTAGCACTCACACAGAACCCTAACACCAGCACCCCAACACACACACAGCACCCCAACACACACACAGCACCCTAACACCAGCACCCTAACATTGACACATCACCCTAACACACACACAGCACCGTAGCACTCACACAGCACCCTAACACACACACAGAACCCTAACACACACACAGCAACGTAGCACTCACACAGCACCCTAACACTCACACAGCACCCTAACACCAGCACCCTAACATTGACACAGCACCCTAACACACACACAGCACCCTAACACACACACAGCACCCTAACACCAGCACCCCAACACAGACACAGCACCTTAACACCAGCACCCTAACATTGACACAGCACCCTAACACACACACAGCACCCTAACACTCACACAGCACCCTAACACCAGCACCCTAACACTGAACACACAACATTGACACAGCACCCTAACATTGACACAGCACCCTAACACACACACACAGCACCCTAACACACACACACAGCACCCCAACACACACACACAGCACCCTAACACCAGTACCCTAACACCAGCACCCTAACATTGACACATCACCCTAACACACACACAGCACCCTAACACACACAGCACGGTAGCACTCACACAGCACCCTAACACCAGCACCCTAGCACTCACACAGCACCCTAACACATACAGCAACCTAGCACACACACACACACATCACCCCAACACACACACATCACCCCAACACACACACAGCACCCCAACACATACACAGCAACCCAACACACACAGCAACTCAACACACACACAGCACCCCAACACACACATCACCCTCAAATACACAGAACCCTCGCTCAGTGCCCTAACACACAGCGCCCTCACACACAGCACCCTCACACCCACATACTGCACCCCCCCACACACACCACCCTCCCACATACACACTATACTCCTCACAAATGCACACTACACCCCTCACACACACAGCACCCACCAAACACACTGCACCACTCACACACTCACTAGATCTCCTATACGCACTCCTGAGTCCTTCAAACACACACTAGATCCCCTACACACAGACGCTGCACCACTTACACACACACTACATTTCTGACATACACACTCAGAATCCCCTATAAACACTCTAGATACCCTTTAAGCAAAGTGAGTATTAAAATACAGTGAGTATTCCATTTATGGAAACCCCTGAGACAAGTTTCAAGCAAACACAATGCAAGCATGTTATTAAATTTGCTTGTGCTGTGCAGATCAAATACAGGGCCCTTTTCTCATGCCCTGGAAGAGCATTGAACCAACATGCTCACTTTGAGATGGGGCGTGCTTGTCATTGGGGATGACAAAACACACCCTATCTGGCCCCGCCCCCGCCCCCTTTTCAGTGGGCCGCTGTAATTAAAAATGCCCGGGCCGAATTTTTTCCCCAGTCCGACCCTGATCATCGTCATACCACCTGAAGGGTATTGTACCAATAGTCTCTTTCAGGAGTAGGGTTAAACCATAGTCAACTCAATGAATCTCCCCATAGATGCTGGTAAAATGGAATAGTATCAGCATAGACTGGTCTCCCATACCAGTTGGAGGCAGAGTTAGGTCTGTTTAGCTTTTAATACATGCCATGGACAGCGACTTATACCAGAGTAGTCTCATCTGAGACCCATAGCTGGACCAGAATGTATATACTGTAAAGCACCTCAATCTTAGAGCTAACTAGCAAATTAGCTCTGTATACACCCTGTACAGAGCCTGTATAACCGAGTCACATATATACATGTAACTCACAGTGTTCTGAGATGTATACTGCCATTTAAAATTCTCAGTAAACTGTGGTATAAACTGTCATAAACTCACATCAAGCTGTGATACATACACTGTATTGAAACTCAGCAATCTGTGATCTAAACTGTGATATATTCATAGACAGAAAAAACAGTGATCAGATGAACTGTATAAGTTCATATACATAGAGAATACAGTGATTTGATGAACTGTATAATTTCATAGAAATAGAGAATACAGTGATTTGATGAACTGTATAAATTCAATGACATAGAGAACACAGTGATTTGATGAACTGTATAAACTTATTGACATAGAGAATACAGTGATTTGATGAACTGTATAAATTCATTGACATAGAGAATACAGTGATTTGATGAACTGTATAAATTCAATGACATAGAGAATACAGAGATTTGATGAACTGTATAAATTCAATGACATAGAGAATACAGAGATTTGATAAAAACAGCATTAAATTATGGAAGACATGTAGAAATCAGCCGGTGAAACCAAGCAGGGCAACAATAGGCGAGAGCCGGTCATCGTGGGTGGAGAAGACGCCGCGAGCAGGCGCACTCTCCTCTAGCCGGTCTGATGCCTGTGGCTCCTAGAAAGAGCCGCGAGCAGCGAGGCGGCCACGTGCGCAAGCTCCTTAGAAGGAACCGATCGCGGTGAGGCGGCCATGTGCGCGGGTGCCGCCGGGTACTCGGGGAATCAGAGGAGGCAGCCAGGAGGCTAGTCTCCAGAAACCCCGAGAGAAAGACTTGTCGCCCGCGGTTAGCAAGGGCGGAACAAGTAACAGAAGGGTGTTAGCGAGTGGGGTAGTGGGGGTGGGAGGGATAAAACCAAAGGAAGCAAACAGAATAGGAATCCCTAAGAACCCCCAAAAAAACCACCAGAAAGTAAGCGAAAATCTCCCCAAAGAAAACCAGGGGAAGCAAAGAAGAGCCAAAAGGGCACAATCCCAAAAAAAACAAAGCATAATAATAAAATCATAAATAAAACATGATGAAAATAAATCATCAATAAATCCCAAATAAGCTAAATAAAGGTAAAATAAATCATAGTAAACAATGATTCATATAAATAATCAATAAATCATAATAAAACCCAAAGCCACCAACTAGAAGCAGAGGGCAGTGGTACTCTGACCTGTACTGATGCGGAGCAGCAAAGAAAGAGGAAATGATGCATGGGAAGGGGAGTTTTATAGTACCTAACTTTTTTCTGATTGGTTGTTTTTCTGTGCTGCTGTGGAATTCTAGTAAAGAGAGACTAAAGCAAATACGAAGCCTCCTGTCATGTTATAAAATTCAAATCCTGGTGTAACAGTTTAAAAGAAGTGATGTTAAAAATATAGCAGTGTCTCCGCAGCCATTGTGAGAAGAAATTTAACTAATTTTTATTGAAAGTTTTTTACCTGGATGCCTCAGAGCTGAAAAGCCTTGCTCGCTGTTCCATTTCCATTCATCCTCACTCTCATTAGTCGGTAATTCTAAGATCTCAGGGATTCTTCCACCAATAGGAATGTTCAAGAAGTTCTCGTCCTCGTGGCTGTTGAATAAAAATGACATGCCTGATATAAAAATAATGGATAATTCTACAAAGCTACCAACTGTTACAAATTCTTTATTACAGTCATGACAGTGGAACGTACATCATCAATAATAATTAAATAACAAATCCAGTACCCCTTATGCTACATACATTAAACCATACAATTTTCACTGGGGGGGTTAAAACAAATCTAGTTCTCAAAGGTATATGAGTTTT